GACAGAACTCGACTGCATTGAGTGCTTGACACGGCCAGCTACCAGCACCCGGCCACGGCCCGGCCACCGGCCCGGCCACCGGCCCGGTCACCGGCCACCGGCCCGGCCACCGGCCCAGCCCCGGCCCGGCAGTGTAGTTGGAATGACCACTTCCTTCTCTAAAATTTTCCCCTGCGTTGCCCACACAAAGGGATGTGTCAAGTTGAAATGGCAACATCCTTCTCTAAATTTTCCCCCTGCATGGCCCACAAAAGGGCTGGTCAACTTGGCATGGCCACTTCCTTCTCAAAAATTTACCCCTGCATTGCCGACAAAAGGGTGATTCTAGTTGGAATGACCACTTCCTTCTAAATTTTTTTCCCTGCATTGACCACACAAAGGGATGATTCAAGTTGAAATGGCAACATCCTTCTCTAAATTTTGCCCCTGCATTGCCCACAACAGGGTTAGTCAAGTTGAAATTTCAACATCCTTTTCTAAATTTTCTTCCTGCATGCCCCGCAAAAGGTTGAGTCAACTTGGAAGGGCCACTTCCTTCTCTAGAATTTACCCCTGCATGGCCCACAAAAGGGTGAGCCAAGTTGGAATGACCACTTCCTTCTCTACGACTCTACAATTTACCCTGCACTGCCCACACAAAGGGATGAGTCAAGTTGAACTGGCAACATCCTTCTCTAAATTTTACCCCTGCATTGCCGACAAAAGGGTGAGTTGAGTTCGAACGACCACTTCCTTCTCTAAAGTTTACCCTCAAGTGGCTCACCAAAGGGTGAGTCAACTTGGAACGACCACTTCCTTCTCTAAATTTTCCCCCTGCGTTGCCCTCAGACAGGGATGAGTCAAGTTGAAATGGCCACTTCCTTTTCAAAATGTTGCCCATGCATTGCCCATAAAAGGGATGAGTCAACTTGAAATGGCAACATCCTTCTTTAAATTTTCTTCCTGCATGCCCCACAAACGGGTGAGTCAAGTTGAAATGGCAACATCCTTCTCTAAATTTTACCCCTGCATTGCCCAGAAAAGGGTGAGTCAAGTTGGAATGACCACTTCCTTCTCTAAATTTTATCCTGCATTGCCCACACAAAGGCATGAGTCAAGTTCGAAAGACCACTTCCTTCTCTAAATTCTACCCCTGCGTTGCCCACACAAAGGGATGAGGCAAGTTGAAATGGCAACATCCTTCTCTAAAATTTACCCCTGCATTGCCCACACAAAGGGATGAGCCAAGTTGAAGTGGCAACGTCCTTCTCTAAATTTTACCCCTGCATTGCCGACAAAGGGGTGAGTCAACTTGGCGTGGCCACTTCCTTCTCTAAATTTCACCCCTGCATTGCCCACAAAAGGGTGAGTCAAGTTGGAGCGACCACTTCCTTCTCTCAAGTTTACCCTCAAGTGGCTCACCAAGGGTGACTCAACTTGGAACGACCACTTCCTTCTCTAAATTGTACCCCTGTATTGCCGACAAAGGGGTGAGTCCACATGGAAGGGCAACTTCCTTCTCAACCTTTTACCCCTGCATTGCCGATCACAGTTTGAGGCCACTTGGCCTCCAAACAGCAATCAATTTGTATAAATATATGTATACAAGTATGCAATGAGACCATCATGTATAAAGCGGTGTCCAATACCTTTCAATATCTTTCAAGCGGGATTCCTTGGTTACCTCTTTTGGGGCGATGTTCTGGTTGTTTCTGGCTTCCGAAGCAGACACCAGGCTACAGCTTGCTAATGTGGTGCAGTCGCAAGCTGCGGCTTAGAGCACCAGCCATGGACGTGGGTCAGTCCGAAAAAAAGGGCTAGGCAGCAGCAAGGCGTCTCATGGTGTTTTGACATCGATATTTTAGCATCAAGTAGACGTGTCAATCTTGCAGGCGTCAGGTGGATGTGGCTGTGTTGCAGCTGATGTTCAGTCAAGTTAGAAATTCCAGGAGGTCTGAGTCCGAGCATGGAAATGGACCTACGCTAGAGGGGGGGTTAAACGGGCCACCGACACCGGCGCCGGCTATACCGCACCGGGCGCCGGCCACCGGCCCGGCCACCGGCCACCGGACCGGGCACCGGCCACCGGCCACCGGCCACCGGCCACCGGCCACCGGCTACCGGACCGGCTACCGGCCACGGGCCACCGGCCCGGCCACCGGCCACCGGACGGGCCACCGGCACCGGCCACCGGCACCGGCCACCGGCACCAGCCACCGGACCGGCCACCGGACACCGACAAAAAAAGTATATACTCTCGCCATCAGGCGCATCAGGTGCTTCTTGGGCCTCCTTCTGGGGCGACACCCAGGCGCAGTGGGCGCCCGTCGACCTTGGGAAACAGTGGGAGGAGGTTAGCTATTAATTGATTTATTTCTATTAGTTTCTTGTTCCTTTAATAGCAAACATTGTTACTACTAGTAAGGCACTTGTTACTAGAAGCGATGCACTTGTTCCTAGTAGAATGGCTTGTCCCTTTTGTGGAGATGGGAGTGGTGTTCTGTGGGAGTGAACAGGTTTTCAATTTGTTTGACTTCGATCTGCTTACGGCTATGAAGCCTTCTAGCGGTTTAGACATGTTTGGACATGATTTTCAGAAATGGTTTAACTGTAGCATTCACCAGCTGAAGAAGATCTGTATACATGACCCTGAAGTGGTTTGCACTGAATGTTGAGTGGTTTGTGTAGTCAGTCAATGTTCTACACCATGGATCCTTTTTAGACCATGCCCAGGCCCAAGGCTGGTATGCATTGCATGGCTTTGAGAAAGCTTTGACCCTTTCATCGGGTGTCTAAAACTCAACCTGAAAACCACATTGCCGAACACGAGGACAGGATCCACCAGGGGCCCGAGAATGACCGCTTCCCGAGACATGAGATGGGGGCAATCGTATAGACCATGCATGCAATACAGAACTGTTTCGAGAAATGATATCCTATACCAAGTGGCTGTAGGTCAATGTACCAAAAGGCCTTCGGTGAACAATAGACTCATTTAAGCGACCATTTATACAATCGCTAAACTATTACTATGCTAAACTAAATATGCTTACTAGCTTTGGAGGCCATCGCTATTGTATAGGTTGGAGGCCGGAAACATGCCGAAGCTGTGTGAAGTCGTTGCAGTCCCTGATGGGTCCATGTCTACTCAGTCTACTCAGGTGCCCGGTGGCTCACCACCGGCGCAGGCCGGGGGGTTTCACCGGGGGTCTGTGATGGCAACCGGGGAGGCTTGAGGGATGGTCATGCTTCAACCAGGTGACCCGTGGACTGGCCACCAGGTTGAAGCCGTTTTCTTTTGTTTTTCAGTAATCCACCGGATGGCCTAGGGCTAGGGCCCATGGTTCAATGATTCAGACACCGGCCCACCAAGATCTCCACCTGGCCATCCGGATGGCGCTGTCAGAAGTGGCAGTGCTGTCAGAAGCACAAGTCATCACCAGTGTTTCGTTTGGCAAGATGACAAATACTGTGCAGTATAATGCAATCTATATACTCTCAGTGGTTCTCAAATAGATAGAATCGATTTCCAATACCTTTTGAAAGAGGTTTCAACTTCATCTATTTGTGGGCACCGCCGGACGAGCCCAGCCCATGACGTGCAGGTGGTCTTGGCCAGAACCGAGGGACAGGCGATGGGAGATGGCAAGCCTGGGAGGCTAATGTTTCATGCCAAACACCTGCAAGATCACGGTCTCTGACCTAGATAGCACACTTTTAGCACCATGGGTCTCTGACAAACATTGTTATCCAAATGGTCTGAACTTGCGACGGGACGCTCGCAACCCGGTGTCGTCCTCGGTGTCGGTAGGTCTTCCGGGAACGACTGGGCTTCGTGGTGCTTTGTATCATCGGAGCCTACTGTTCTATGAGGCCGGTTGGAGTGGAGAATCGAGGTGTCCTTGAGGAGGGGAGTGGAGCCGGTGACTTCAGCTGGTGAAGATTTCTATGACGATGTGCTATTTAAGATTATTTAAGAAATGGCAGCGTTATTTGTATGTTATTTGTCTAATGGTTGTCTGGAGAATCATATCAGTGCGTTGTAGTGCTAGCTGGTGACTTGAGAGATGTTTGGAGTTTCTTCAGGCAGGACGTTTGACAATTGTGATGTATGTTGGACATCTTCGGGTTGCTGCTTTGCTTAAAGAGTGCATTTGGCTGGTGAAAAGAGAGTTCTTTTAGAATTCGATGGTGAATGGAGAGAAAAGCGTGCTGGATCGCTCAAGCTCAGAAGTATCGCCCGCTCATTGCCACTTGGGTGCAAGATCTACAAGTTTCTTCATCAAATTAGTCTGGCATAATCTGGCACTGGATCAAACGAGGCCAAGTCATGATGTTGGTGTGATGGGTATTGTTCACCCGTCTCCCTCGCGGTTTGGCATGCCGGAGGATCTTGGTAGAGCTCCGATCCATTTTGGAGCCCTTCCTGTGGGCGCTCTTTTTGGTCATGGCCGCGCGCCATGGGTCAATGGAAAGGCGGAAGGGGGAAGTGGAGATCGGAGGGTGGAGGCCGTGTGGTGCTTTTGGTCATCATGATCTTCTGGACAGAAACCAACCAGCCGAAACGGCGAGTGAGCCACCACGCAACTAACCAAGCGAGCGAGCGAGCAGCCAGCCAACCAGCGAACCAAACAAACAAGCACGATGATAAATATCAACACAATGCCAAGGTGAATGATCTTGAAATTTGATATCAGTTATCAGTGTTCAGTGGTGTCGTTTGAGATGTTCAGTGGTCAACCACTCAGCTTAAGTGTTCCGCACGCTTGGCCGTGGTTCGAGAAATCCCACCGTGCTAGAGTATCACCACCGTTGTGGATTCGGGGATTTCATACACACATGTTTGATCATGTCTGTGAAGAACACCTATAATTAAGTAGCAGCTAAGTAGCAGAGACGTCCATGTGCCTTTCACCTCTTTTCTGCCGCCCCTCCTACTATCCGCTGAACCACTTTCTGCCGCATCCCGGCGAAGCAGCTTCCGGTGTCGTCCTAAGGCCTGGAAGCCCGTGGTGGATGGCATTGAGAGTCGTTTGGAGGTTCTGCCGCTGGGCGCCACGATGGATGCGAAATTCAGCGACGGATTTGACGGATGAGGGCTGTTTTGGTCGAGGTTGGACCATCCATGTGGCCGCAAATAGCCATGAGCCCAAAAGTTGGATCAGTCCAAGCTTATCCCTGGCGATTTCCAAGTTGGGAGGGCATTGGATGTGGGGACGTTCTGGCACCCGGGGCAACTTCCAGTTTTGGTCCTGGGGGTGTCAACCTCAACCGTAGCCACAGCAATTCCAAAGTTAAAGATGAAGAGTCCAAGTGAAATTCCGCTGTTCCCAATGTAGCCCGATCTCCTGCTTCGGACTGTTCTGAGCACTTGCTTTCTGAAGCACCAGGAACATGAGCCAACAACCCAATCTTGTGAATCTAAACCAGAGCCTGGAGCTTCCTCCAGTCTTTGTGACCCCTTGCGAACTGACTGTAACAAACCCAAGGAGAGGTGTCTTTGGTTCTGAACCTACGATTTAGTTCCAAAGACCCGCCTTCGGCAGAGAAGCCTGGCTGCCTCCGTTCACCCTGGTCCGTTCACAAGAGACATATCAATCACACCTCTTCATCACCTGATGGTTTCAGGTCGGAGGGGGTCAGACGTCCATCCTCCGTTCTATCTAGCTGTTCGAACGGATCCTGGTGGCTTCTCTCAGGTTAGCTTTCATCTTCCCCAGCCTCCGAACGGACTCGCCCGGCGCTCAGAGCGGAACTTGGGGCGCTCAGACTCGCAGCACGCGTGCTGGGTGCTGTCAGTTCGTGCTGTTTTGCCGGGTGTGCCTGTGCCGGGCTGTGCCTGTGCCGAAGCTGTTGGTTTCTCTCTAGTAGTAACAGGTGCCACGCTAGTAGTAACAGGTGCCTTACTAGTAGTAACAAAAAGCTATTAGAATTAAATTGTTGGTTTATCTTTTTTCAGTTTTGCGACCTGTGGTCGTGGTCCGAAGCGAGGCCGCGGGAGAGGGGCAGAAAGGGCCACGAGTCTGAGGCAGGTTTGGGACGTGGTGGCTGTGTGGAAGGTGACGTGGAGAGAAGATGGAGCCAGACTGAGCCAGAATGATCTATTCTTGCTTTGTCTCTTGGCCATAGTCCATAGTTTTTTTTGTTACGTACTGTACCCATGACACTATGGGTAATTAAGATTGGATCACATCACATGTCCCATGAAAATGAAGATGACCTCATTGGAGGCCAAGTTGGGTCACCGCTTGGCCGCTTGGGACCGCTCCTGTGAGCGGTGTGTCGACTCGCGATGCGCAGGATGAGATGGAGGACTTGGAAGGCGCAGCCGGTTTGGTCGCGGCGGTTTTGGTCGGCGGAGCAGCGGGGTGTTTCAAGCGACCAGTGCAGATGGATGTCTCAAAGGCACTACGGTTGGAGGTGTTTGAAGGAGCAATAGTAAGCACCATCCACTTTTCTTTTGCGTGGAGTCAAATCAACATGTGAATCGAACGGGCTTTGGCCTTGTGAAGGTCTTGAAAAAACTCGCCGTCCTAGGTGAGCTTGAGTCCATGCTTCCACCCCAGAGTGACAGCTCTCCAATGATTCCAGAGGCGGGTGGTGGGTTGAGCTGCAAAAGCCTGGGCTGGAAGGGAAGGGCTGGAAGGGCTGGACAGAAACATAGAGGTCAAGGATTCAAGGATCTGGAATTTGAGACATTTGAGCCATGCCCAAACACTCCATGGGACTGCCATATATGCCTACATGGAGTGTCTGGGATGGTGATTCAGGCTCACTGTGCAGCGAGGTCACGGTGTCACGCACGAATCGCGCGCCGTCACGCTGCTTTTGGAGAGGAAGGGACCTTGCTGGAAATCCATATGCTTGGCACATCAAAGTGAATGCTGATGAGCCTTAGTCTTAGTAGATGTTTCAAGTCAACAGCCAGTCAAGTTCGTGAATCCACCTGCACAAGCCCACCCAACCGTTTGTTTTTCCAACCAATTCCAACCCAATCTATACTCTATAAGTTATTCTATACTATTGAATGACCTGATACTCAAGTCAAGTGGCCCTGGGCTCTTGTGGACACTGAGACACCGAGTTGGAACACGGAGACACCGAGTTGGGAGGTGTTCCCACAAAAGCTTCGCCGCAGCATGGCAGCCCAGAGCCAGAGTGAGTATGGGTCAACAAAATCAGGCCGGTTCGGGGTTCGCAGGTTTTAGTGAATATGCCGGCGGTGAGCCCAAACATGCAAAACAAACCTCCCACGTGTGAAAAGAAGCTTCTGAGTGGTATGGGTGCGAGGGCGGCGTCGCACATCGGCGACCAAAACAAATGAAGGAATCCTCAAAGAAGTTTCAATCTCGCTGAGCCGGAGATCCTCCCACATATGTCTCAGTGACGGCTTTCACCCAGAATGAATACAACGCGGAAACCACTATGGAGCCATGCAGGGTGAATCTCCGGGTTCTAGGGAAAAGTATAGCGTGATAGACTGGCACTGACCAATTCCTGGAGAAATAGACCTGCAAGGTATAGAGACCTGCAAACTTCGAGAGCAAGTGTTAGTCGAGAGAAGGCCTAGAAGAAGTCGAGAAGTCGAGAGAAAAGGTAGGAGTGCTTGTGGAGAGCATGCGAGGTGCAGCACATGTGGCTACACAAATTGACAAACGTCGCCGAATCAGGCACGCGGCGTGCCAAGAGCTGTACCGGAGGACGCAGCACGTGAGGAGTTTGTTGATATTGGTGGCCCATGAAGGGCAAGGCGGCCCAAACTGAACTCCGGCATATCGATGCCTATGCAGCAGCGCCTTAGTTTGTACTGTAAATGGAGGCGTTCTAGCGATGTGTCTTCTTTTATGTTCCCCTCTCTCTCTCTCTCACTCTGCCTCTCTGTCTCTCTGTCCATGAGGTAGCTGATGGTAGTGCGATTGTACTTGTTTGTCTTTCTGAGTGTTGCTTCTTCATTTGGTGTTGCCAACATCATGCATTTGGTGTTGTGTTTGTTTCACCATCTTCCCTCTATATACATGATCAAAGATCCTTGCAAGGATTAAAGGCTCACTAGACGCATGGTGTGAATGGCCCAAATGCACCTTTGCTTGAGGCTACGATGTGGACGAAGAAACGTGGAGTGGAGGCGCAACCTGGGAGGCCCTCCAAAGCTGCCCAAAGAACTGGGCAGAACCAGTTGTTCTCAAGGTGACCTTGAAAACCCTCAAATGTATCGATTGGGATGGTCTTGAATCGTTCTCAGTACCTTACCAGCTGCAACCAGCTGCAACCTCACCAAGGTGTTTGGCAGACATTGATCGGATGTCCAAAAGCGAGCCCACAAGATCCAGCTTGCGTAGATCGAATCCAAAGTGGGCAGGGAACATTATGAGACACTATAGCTTTTGCTCAGGAGGGAGCTATAAGGAGCAAGGGTATATCCCCCACTAAGCACTGAGCCAAGCAGCTACAGGGAGTTCCTCAATCCCTTCCTAGAACAGTCTATTGAGCGATTGTCCGTCAGAAATACGTAGTATTTCTAGAGCTGCCCAGCTGGTCTTCTCTCGATTGGCGCCGCGAAATCCTTGAATGCAAGTGCCGGTTGAACACGGTCCGATGTGTACTTGGAGATGAGTGCACCAAAAAACGATTTTTGTCCCTCCTGCTCTGAAGCTTCACGAAGTCGAAGTGGACTTGTGGGTGCGGAGGCCCCCATCTTACATTTTCTAGGGATCCACATACCTTCTGAGAAGGTGATTGGAGACTATTTATGTAGGCGCCAGAGGGCCCAAGTACCTTCTGAGAAGGTGGCAGTGGATCCCTATTATGGGAAACCACCCTCGTGATTCGGCCATTGGAAACCTACGGCTTCAGGTTCGCGGCTCCGCCGGACCTTGGCGCGTGGCCTCGCCGTGCTGTCGGCGGTGCCCAGTGGGTGGTGTTCCAATGGCGTTGGTGAAGCGTCAGCCTGTACGTACCAGCGGATGTGGTGCCGGCAAGCCTAGCTACTAGTAGCAAAGGGCATCGCTTACTAGGAGCAAGAAGCTACTAGAAACAAAGGGCCTGGGGACTAGTAACTAAGAAGACCTGTAATGCCTTTCTTCCTCAGCTACTTGCAGGGCTCAAGCTGCAAGCTTCTTTCAATGTCAATCCTGCTGCAGAACGGATGTCGTAGCCTCCACGTCGAAACAGCGGTTCGGTTTCAGTTTATTGCCACACTCCGCAAGTTTGGTGCAACCTGCCCATCAACAATCTGCGCAATGATGCGTGCCCTCTTTGATTTTTTTTGCCAGCAAAGCGCAGGCGAACAATAATCCTCCATGAACCTATCAATGGGAAGTGCCAGGTTCACTGTCGCAATATAGATCTACATGATCTACAGCGGGAATAGCCTGCGAAACAAGTTCCCATTCGGTTTCCGAGAATAGTCATGGATATTCATGGATCATTGGCTACTAGGTTGGAGGCCATCGCTCTTAGGTTGGAGGCCATCGCTAGTAGGTTGGAGGCCGTTCCTATTAGGGGACATTCATGGATTATTAGCTTACGATATGACCCTCATGGTAACAGGCTCCCAGAACAGTTTCTTTAGCTTCTGGTGAGCGGACTCAACTGGTCAAATTTTGACACGCAACAAACACACCTACACGCATTTTAAGATTCATGATTGCAATATATTGCAATAGCACTTCAATAGCCTATCATGAGTATTCTGTGTGCTGACAAGTCATAAGCGTTTGATGATTGGCACTCAAAGCTCCCCCTCGTCTGCTACTCGTCCACGGTCCGTGGGACGTGGTGCGCGTTTCGCCCGCGGTCCAACCCGCGGTCCATGGCGCGATGCTCGCGGAGAGGACCACGGAGGGCTTCTTGGCTGCCGATGTAGACATGCCAAGCACCATCATTTCTGCCATCACTGCCACATACTGCCTATAATTACATGCCTATAAACTATACTGCCTATTAAGTATATACGTTATGTTATGTCATTTGTTGGGATCCTCCCTTCCCGGAGCCTCACTTGTACTGCCTTCCTTGGTTCTCTGGAGCTAGCAAGCCCATGGTCTATGACGCAAAACCCCCTTGGGGAGAGCCAGGTCCATGGCCCTCTAGAGGTGACTCCCTTCAGCTTTGGCCTCAGGTTTGCACCCGATGTTTTCATCAAACGGCCGGGCCAAGCAAATAACATTATATAAATATAGTTAATACTGAACTTCACAAATTCTTCACAACCATTTTAGTGGCTATGAATTTAGACACCCCTTCGAAGCCAGAGGGTTTTTTGTTTTGCTTCAAGGACGGCGCCTAGGGCAAGGCTTATGGCAAGGACCTTTGCAGGCACCGGCCGTGGGCGTCTCGTCATTTTCTTGTCAATCACCAGTGAGCGCTGGCATCCCAAGGTCATCAATGAAAGATTGGACTTGTGGGCACTCTAGCAGACAAGTGAATGGAACATACTAGGAACACGAAGCTACTAGGGGCTCCTGGCCTTACTACTAGGAGCAAGGACGCTACTAGGGGCTTTTGGCATCGCTACTAGCAACAAGAAGCTACTAGGAGCAAAGGCGGTGGATCTTTTGGAACAGGTTAGACAGCAAAGTCAGCACACTTGATCCCAGTTTGAACCAGCATGTGTTGCAGACTCTTAGATTTCCAGCTGGGGTGGTTACTTTAAAATAACGTCACGGCCATGCTCAATCGGTGAAATCATGTGAAATCTATCTTCTCAAGACCTTTTGCCAAACTTCCAAGCGGTGACATCCAGTCACCATTGAAAAGCTGCACCATTTGATGGACTTGCTCAAGGCTTCTGGAATTCCTTCGAGCGACAAAATCAGCATGCAAAGCTGCCACTGATCCGGGCTGTTTGGAATTTCAGAGGTGTTCACACATGCGGGGGAATTGGCCTGCAGAAAGTGAACGTGTGTTTCTAAGGGATGTCATAGGAGGATAGGTGGAAATGGGGGGGACAAGCGGGCCCCCTCGGCGCAAGGAGCTTCCCAGCTGCGACTTCTTCCCGCGGCGGGACTATGCGGTGGCATCCTTCTCCTCCGGCGACGGCTTCGTCGTTCTGGGCGGCAGCCGCTTGATTCGAAGGGATCAGAGTGAAACCTGCAATCGAGTTGAAGGTCAAAACATCTTGCCTATTTATGTAAAAGAAGCTACTCCACTTTGACATGACATGTACAGAACATCGCACTTGAGGCCTTCGTGGTTCAAAACAGCTCGCATGGTAGCGGAGCTGAGAAGGCTGACGCTCGTCAGCTGGAGCTCCGGGGAAGTTTTAACCCAGGTGTGAGGTCGCCCGCGCCGAGCCACCCATCCAACTAGTGTTGCACTCTCGCTCGCAATCATAGCCTGTGATTACCTGAAGGGGATCTTCGAGCGAGTGTCCTTTGGAGGTGGAGAGAGGGGCGAAGGACCTGGGCAGAAGGAAGAGCTTGGCACTACAAGGAAGAGAAGATGGACCAGACCGACATGCCCGTGCTAGCTCAAGCTGTCATAGCGGCTGCTAATGCAGCAGCCCAGGCGGCTCAGGCAGCGGCTTCAAGTGGAGGAACAGTTGGTCAGGGTGCAGAAGGAGCAGGGGGAAGCCAAGGAGTGTTGAAGCGTGATCTAGCAAAGTTGATCCCACGACCTGGTGCCTTTAATCCCACAGACAGAGAGCAAGAGGTTTTGCAGTGGCGAGATTGGTACTGGACAGTCAAACAATATTTGGTTGTGGTTGATGCAGCATTTCAAGATGAGTTGGAGAAGCTAGAGACCAACCTGACAACCGAGATAGACTGGGAGTTGCTAGATGAGGAGGAACAGCAGAGAAGTCGATTTCTGTACAGCTTGTTGGGGAGCTTGGTACAAGGACGACTGACAGGTGTCATCAAGAATGTCGAGAAGTTCAATGGAATGGAAGCACTTCGACAACTGTTGATGAACTGTCAACCCCAGGCGAGAAACAGGACGATGAACCTCCTGCAAGGGATAATGTCCTACCCGAGCTTCAACATGAAGAGCTCCTTGTTGCCTCAAATCCTCAAGTTAGAGGAACACTATGTCCAGTATGAGCGCCTTGGAGGAAAGCTATCACCTGACATGAAGTCAGCGGTGTTGCTCAGAGCGGTGTCGGGTCAGATGAAGACTCATTTGAATCTGACTTTGAATGAGGGCAGCTCATATGGCAAAATCAGGGAAGCAATCATTGCCTTTGACACGGCCACCACCAAGTGGAATGAGTCGGGAGCCCTTACGTTTTCAGGAATGAGCCCAATGACGAATACAACAGATCCCAATGGTCCAATGCCCATGGAGATTGACCGCATCAAGGGTGACGGCAAGAAAGGAAAGGGAAAGACCAAAGATGGTAAAGGCAAATCGAAGGGCAAAGAAGACCGACAGAAGGGAAAAGGCAAAGGTGGCAAGCCTGGTGGAAAAGAAGGCAAGGGTAAAGGAGGTGGCAAGGAGAACAAAGGTGGCAAAGGCAAAGCTACCAATGAAGTGTGTTGGACTTGCGGCAAACCCGGACACATGTCACGTGACTGTTGGAGGATCAGACAAGTTGAAGCACCAGCAGTCCAGAGCATCGCAGGTTCTCACACTACTTCGCCCTCTACGACATTGACATCGAGCACCTCGAGTGGAGGAGGCGGAGACGCCAATGTGGGTGCCAAGAGTATCAGACGTGTTTCACAGCCAGTGATCTTCGACTTGAGAGAAGGGAGTGAAGCTGGTTCAATTCGAGTTGTGAGCCAAGTTGAATTTTTCAACATTGCCTCAGAGGATGAAGAGGAGGATGGATGCTACCAAGTCAATACCATTGCTGAGACCGAGCATGAGGAGGAGGCCGAGGAGGCCTATGTGGCAGAAGAGGAGCAACAGACCTTGAAGGTGATTGTTGACTCGGGGGCGGATGCCTCGATCTTCCCAGGAAGACTCATGGGAATGACAAGGAGTGATCAGGTGTTGGGACAAGCCCTTCATCTGCAAGACGCCCAAGGGAAGAAGATCCAGAGTTATGGCAACAAAGATGTGGATATCTTGATGATGACATCTGAGGGCCAATCTGTGGTCTTGAAGGAGAGAGTGACCTTCAGCGACATGGTGAGCCAGCCCATCTTGTCTTTTGGACGCTTGATGAGAAGCGGGTGGTCCATCGATGGCCAAAGGCAGTGTTTGAGGAATGGAAGCCTGGAGGTGCCTTTAGCGTTTCAGAATCAAAGCCTAGTGGTGGATGCTGCCATCAGGGTGATCACAGAACCCCTGGTGATTCGAACGCTGGCAGTCAGGCTGAATGAGGAGTTGACCAACATGGCTGGAAGCGGCTATGGCTGGAAGAAGAAAGATGAGTTTTGGGTTGGACTTCACTTGAGCACAAGGTTTCAAAGCCCACAGTTCGATGTGTCGAACTACCCTGGTGGAGAAGCAGGGCAGTTGGGAGTTGGTAGAAATGGCCGAACCATTAGACGGCCTAGAGGAGCAAGAAGAGGAAGTAGAAGAACTTCGAGATGTGGGTCTTAGCAAGGTGATGACCTTTGTGGCTCAGGAAGGAACAGTTCCAGAGATGTTCGGTTTTGAGATTGACAATGCAGTCCAATTGGGTCCTAGACCAGCAGTTGAAGAGCTCGCAATTCCACAAGCTCAAGATGAGGAGATGGAAGAATTCGATGGTGCAGACATTCCAGGTGGAGATGACGAGCCCAACCCTGGTCGTGACCTACAAGAACAGATGGTGCACTATGAGATCGGTGTTGCACTTCCAGAGGAGATTCGAGTGAACGAGGTCCCACTGACAGTCGACAGCCCCCTGAGGAACCTGAGAGCTGCTTGTGCTTTCTACAGGATCGGACAGAGTGGAGGCAAGAGAAAATGCTTCAGTCGGCTAGTGGCTCATCAAGGTGCACTCGAGTTGATGATGGCCAAGGACTTAGCTGCGCGAGGACAGGCAATGGGGCAGAGGATTCCAGTGGAGCAGGTGACAGCAAAAGTCCCAACAGAAGCAGAGAGGAAAGCCCATGAGCTTACTCATGTCCCTTACGCTCCATGGTGTCCTGCCTGTATCAGGCATCGAGCTCGTCCGGATCAACACAGGAGGACGGGGAAGTCTCATGACCAAGGAGTTCCAACAATCTCCTTCGACTTTTGCAAGGTGAAAGCCAAGGGTTCAGGAGCGATTGGAGCGGAAGAAGAGGATGCTGCTCAGGAAGGTGTGCAAGATGATGAGAGTGGAGCGCTGCTGATGGTTGCGGTATGCTCAGAAACAGGCTCACTATTGGGTTTGCCTTTGAAGACAAAGAACCAGATGAACCTCATCACCCACGAGCTGCTGGCATTCACTCAGATTCTCGGCCATGAGGCTGTGCAGTACTACTGCGACAATGAACCTACTGCGAGGCAGATTGTTCGACTCTTGGTGGCTTCGAGAACAGCCATGGGTTTGAAAACTACAATGAGAACAACAAAGCTTTATGACTCAGCAGGCAATTCTTTGGCTGAGAATGCAGTTCAGCGAGTACGAGGTCTTGCAGCTTCGATGATGGAGAGTCTGGCGGAGAAGATCGGCTTGAGATTTCAGCACCAACATCCACTGTGGTCTTGGGCGTGCCGCCATGCTGCTTGGACCCTGAATCGATATCAGGTGCTGAGAGGGACAACGAGCTTTGAGTTGACTCATGGAAAAGCCTATGATGGCAAGATGTGTCCTTTCGGAGAAGTGGTGTTCGCCTACACGAAACAAAAGCAGGGCTTCAAAGCGGACCCAAAGTGGAAGGTAGGCATTTGCTTGGGAAAGACAGAGGTCCAGGATGCATGGGTCATCGGAGATGGAAACAGAGTTTTCCTCAGCAAGTCCATTCGCAGAGTTGCAGACGCCAGTACCAGGTACATAGCTTGCTACCAGGGCTTCACGGCATACTCATGGGAGTACCAGCAGAATTTTGGTGGAAGAATCGTCCCATCAAAGAGAGTTGCAACGATGGTTGGAGGACCACTGCTGGGATTGCCGACACCTGGAGCAGGAAGAGAAGCTCTGCAGGATGAGGATGCTAAAGAGGTAATAGCCTTCTCGAAGTCCTATGCGGGAAAGTTGGAGGAGGCAAAGGACTTGGTCGAGGTGGTTGAGAAAGAGAAGGTTCAGGTCCAGGAGATGAGTGAGGAGCAGAAGATTGTGGAGAACAAGAAGCTGGACTACGTGGAAGAGAGTGTAAGTCTGCCACCAATCAGATCGAAGGATCCGAATATGGTTGATGACATGAACAACCAAGCTGGACCTTCAATGCCGGGCATTACACCAAGAAGCCCCGCGCAAAAGAGTAGCCTCGGCACAACGGGTGATGAAGGAGATGCGAAGAGGTTAAAGTTCACTACCTTCAAGCTTGTGCACGAGAGTGGAGGAGAGAACTCAGAGACAAAGAGGCAGAAAGTTGGAGAGGAGAAGCCGCAGATTGAGAGAAGGGTGCAAGCGACGGAAGTAGGAGCTGATGTGTACTACCACATGGACCAGTTCTTTGGGGAGGAGGAGTTTTTGTCTTGGGATGGAGAAGAGGAGGAGACTCCATTGACGATGATTCCCAAAGAATTGTGGTCAGAGGCGCCCTTGGACAGAATTCCAGCAGATCCGCCAGCTTGGATCGATGATCTGGCAGATGAGGTGGAAGAGCAGAGACTCTTGAGGATGGGAGTCTTGGAAGCTATGAAGGAGGAAAAGGCAGGTTTCAAGAAGCTGACAACAAGGTTTGTCAGGGACTGGCGAGTGAAGCCTCGTCAAGACTTGCCCGATGCTCCCAAGCAGTTCCTTAGAAGATCCAGACTGGTTGCTAGGGAATATGCAGTGGACAGGCGAGATGATGTGCACAGCCCGGCAACCGGAGGACAGACATTGCGTTTGTTGCCCATCATCTACCTCATGAAGAAGCTGGAAGAGAGAGATGGCGGTGAGGAGTTCTGGTTGGGTTCAATGGATGTGAAAGACGCCTTCCTCCAAGTGCCCCAGGAGGAGCCAACACAAGTAAGAACCGCCAGAGGTCACTATGAGGTGAAGCGCAACCTACCCGGCCAGAGGTTAGGAGCCAAAGCATGGTTTGACTATTTCACAGACTGGTTGAGGAAGAAGGGATTCCAGTTCTCGGACATCAATCCATGCCTTGGGAGAAAGGAAGACCGTATGATGGTGTTGATCCATGTAGATGATGTCCTCTACCTGGGCAGTCGAAAATATGTGGAGGAGATTTTCCTGCCTGACATCAAGAAGAGCTTTGACATTTCGGAGCAACACTTGTCAGGAGATGGCACAACCTTTTCTTTCCTGAGGAGAACCTATGAGCAAACACCAGAAGGGTTGAAGATCCTGCCGGGGAAATATGCCGAGAGCATGATTGAGCAGTATGAGTCCCAACTGGGCCGAGCCAAGATCCAGAAGTTGCCATGTGGGCCGGAGATGCTGGAGCAGGATGGAACGTCCATGGTGAGTGGAGAGTTGGCCAGTCTCTTCAGATCCCTGGTTGGCTGTGGCATTTACTTGTCTCAATAGAGGATGGATGTGTCCTTTGCAATCAAGGAGCTGGCATCCTCAATGGCCTGTCCAACAACAGGGAGTTTGAGAAAGCTTGGAAAGCTGGTGGGTTATTTGAAAGCAACGATTGGACAATACAGTCTTCTTCCGTATCCAGACCCAGGACACGGACATGCCACCAGAACAGCTACGTCAAGATGGCTGCTTGAAACCTTCACAGACAGTGATTGGTCAGGAGCAAAGGGACATAGAAGGTCAACATCAGCAGCGGTGCACATGGTGAATGGGAACGTTGTCTTGGCAAGTTCTAGAGGCCAAAAGTCAGTTTCCCTGAGTTCTGCGGAAGCAGAGCTAAATGCTCTTGTGAGTGGAGCAGCAGACGGGATCTACCTGAGAAGGCGCTTGGAGTTTCTCGTGGAGGAGAAGGTGGTACACCATTGCCTGGTAGACAACTCCGCAGCACTACACCTATGCCATAGGAAGGGCCCAGGCAAACTTCGGCACATTGCTGGCAAGTTGTTATGGATTCAGGACATGGTTGCACAGGGAGATCTTGAGGTCAAGGCCGTAGGGACAGTTGCCAATGTCGCTGACCTAGGCACCAAACCGCTAGCCAAAGCCAGGGTGAATCTCATCCTGCATTGGTGCCAGATCTACAATGGTGAAGGAGAGAGGATTGGACAAGAAGAGCAACAACGACTTGAAGAGAGCAGTGTGAGCCGCAGCAAGATCCAGAGGCTTGCAAAACTGCTCAACAGAATCTTGCTGTTGGAAGGCCTTGAGCATGTGGCTGGTGAGCGAGTGGGCATGGAGGAGAATGTCACCGTGACCAACCACAGTCAGTGGCTATGGGCATTCATTGTGATCCTGATGGTGGTGATTGCCGTACTGATCTTCGGCATTTACCAGCTCTGGAAGAAGCTTGAGAGAATGGAGACAAGGCTTCAACAAGTGGTTGATGATGTGAAGGTTGACGGCATGATGGTGGGAGCCTATGGCCATGAGACGAAGGAAGCAATAGCGCAAGTGAAGAAATATGTGGAGAAGGTGCATCGAGGCTTGATCAAAGCTTCAGGTTATGTTGATGATGATGAAGTCTTGATGGAAGACTGGAGGCATTGGGACTACCTCCAGGACACCAACAAGGAGTTCGACATGAGAAGGCTTGACAAGCAGATCAAGGATTACCTTCAGAGAAATGTTGAACAGACACGTCGACGCCTGAACATTAGAGACAATACTTTGAGAGACAACACCGGTGGAAGTGAGGAGAGCGAAGAAGGAGAACATGATCCAGATGATATGGTGCAAGTCAGATTAGAATCTGGACAAGTGGTGACAGTGAGAGCAGGTGACCTTGAACCTCGCGAACCAGAAAGTGAGAATGAGGAAACGGTGCCTATGGAGACAGAGCCAGAAAGGGTACCAGATCGAACAGGGGAAGCGCGTGGCAGCAGAGACCTGGAGTTTGAGGATTTGACTATGTCAACACCAACAACAAGGTGGCTCACAGATGCAGAACTGCATGAAGTGAGTGAGTATGACAAGCCAGCCTTCAGGTCTTGCCTGAGAGCCAAGCAGTATTCCCTACAGTTCGAGAAGCGATGGTTCGAGCTCAACCAAAGGAACGAACATGAATCCAAAATGGAAATGTACTCACGAATGGGAAGGCATATGGAGTTCATGGACAGCGAGGCAGTTCCCTTTTAAGATGTGAGTGGCGCAGCAAGCACGAAAAAGGCTTAGCTCGCGGCGCCAAGGAGGAGTATGTAAAAGAAGCTACTCCACTTTGACATGACATGTACAGAACATCGCACTTGAGGCCTTCGTGGTTCAAAACAGCTCGCACTATTACATGTTTCCAACCTACCAGGCCTGCAGGGCTTAAGAGATGTTGGTCCTGATCTTTCATCTGGGTCTTACAGCAAGTAATTTCACCCAGACCACCTGTCAACATGATCTTCGGCGTCTTGTGTACCGACCATGAATCTGTTATTACCAGTGTAAGGAAGAGTTGGAATTACTCTGTGCTGGTGAGAGTTTGAGGATGTCAGGAAGATCCTGACTCTTCAACCTATATGTACATCTTCAGAACGCACACGAATCACAAAAGAGCTTGAGCAATATTGAGCACTTATGTTTTTTAAACACGACGATATACTGCCAAAGGGAGATTAAAGGGTGCTTGGGGTCAGACAAAGATCCACAACCTTTCGGCCGACCGGGCCGACCGACCCAACCGACCGAGCACCGCCCCAAACGACGAGGCCGACCGCACCACCGAGGCGCTGGACATGTGCAGCTGAACGACCTTTGGAGCGCCAAATTGCTGGGCCGAGGCCGTGCGGTTGCTGGATGGGAATGGTATGACCGGTATGACACAGTTTTGTTTGACTGTTTGATGTGTGTTTTTTCTAAACATATTGACATGACCCGCAGGCAACATGAGTTTGACATGGCAAGGCAGGGATTGACATTTTGGTTGTGAAGTCCTTGGGGTGGTCTACACTGTGACCTAGTCTCGGCAAATACGATCCATCCTTGTGGTGGATGGAAGAATGATGAAGAACGGCTGCATTGAAAACTCAGATTTCATAGGACATGATTGAATCACCTGATGCAGAATTTCTTCAACTGTAATGTCCTTTTGTTTGTGTGTGTGTCCATGTTTTTGTTTGTGCTGTTTTGTGCTGTTTTGTTTGTTTGTTTGAACAACATACCTGGGTCCCATCTCATCAGCGCCTTCCAAAAGTGCCATCTCATCCAGTCCCACAAACTGGTGACCAACTCGGACCGTCACGAAAGCTGTCCGGCAGAGGATGAGTCCCTGAGCGACTGGGGGTTAAGGGGTGTCACCCCTTGGACGGTGGGGTCCTGCTATGAATTCATCGCAAATACACTCGTAGATGATGAGAAATCATGTACCTATATAGATCAACCAGAATCTACGAATTGGCAGATCCTACATGGAGACATCCTGTTTAGTATATACTACATGCCCATCGCCCGTGCAATGCTTGCTTGATGCCGAACAACGAATCCAGGCGCTGCTGCCACCTGGCATTGGACAGAAGTGTCTCCGCATCTGGATGGCCGGCGTGATCCGATGGCACCTAGATTTCAACAGATTTTTGAGGTCTGGCTGCAAAGAACACGTCCTTTGGAAGTGGTAAGCCTTTCCAGGGGTGGGCAATCCTCTTTTTTCTGATGGTGGGTTGTCGGGGTTGTAACGATTGAAAACCCATCCTCAGAAGGATTTTGCACACGACCCATGCTTGTGTGTTTCGCTTCTTTGATGCCACAGACATGTGGTCAAGCCACAGAAGGGGCGACGCTCGCACCAAGGATGGTCAACTCTTGCTCTCCAAGTGGCCAGGACGCTCGCGCTTGGCCACTGCTGTGGCCTTAGCACCCAAAAGTAGCAATGCACGTGCCATCTACGCAGCTTGGCAGACGAGGGCCGGCGGACGAGGGCCGGCAATGGCCGGCAACGGGGGGTTGTGTGAAGCTTTCAGTAAAAGTGTTGTAAGCGATGAAAGTGGACCACAGGACTACTGTGAAGTAAAACCAACGGAGGCTTCAGCCATCAGCTGATCCATGGCCGTGGTGGGCTGAAAAGCACGAGTTTCGCGATAAGTCGTTGGAATCCCGTATGGAGATCCTGTAGATCTTCGGGGCGCGGCCTCGGTCCAGTCGAGATCTCCTTCCAACACTCCCGACGGGCCCGCAACGTTTCGAGGAAATGGATAGCCAATGTGTTGGGCCACTGTTCGTTTTGCTTTCTTGACATGTTGAATCCACATCCACTCCAATCTTGATCGATTGATCTCCACTTTTGAGTTTGATCCTCTCAGATTCGATCCAGGGGGCCACCGGCCCGGCCGTTTCTCTCCGCTCCAACCGCTTTCCGTCCGACCTCCTGAGCGCCTATATAGAGCGCCGAGCTCCGCTACAGGTCACAGGCGGCCAGGGTGCCTATTGCTTTGAAGACTTTTGGGCTTCAGAAGACGGTGGACAGACTTGGCCCATCGGCACAGACTTGGAGGAGTTGAGAAAGAAGATCTGGTAGAAGTGGTGGGCACAAAACAGGACAGTGAGTTCAATGTATAGCACATTGGTATACATTGGTCAGGTCTTTGGCTGGATGGTTTGGGTCTTTGGCTGGATGACTTGGAGTATTGGATATACAGTGGTCACATTGTGGGACGTTGTGCGGACGTGAACGGACGCAAGATATCAAGACAAATCAAGACACTAGAAGCTACCCATGACCTTACCTTTCAGACGGGGATTCATGAATGCCTGCGTTAAGCCCTCAGCATTCCATTGACTTCAGCATGGCCTAGCGGCCTAGCATGGCGGAGAGCTGTGAGAGCTGTGTTGCGTGAGCACTGGGCACTGCGAAAGGATTTTTGCGCTATAGACCAAACAACTCCAAGGCCAAGTAAGAAGGGTTTTTGCAGACATCTCCCCATCTCGGGTGGATATATAGTACAAGTACAAGTCAGGAGGAAAGCAGCGATTCCAAGCTGCTGCGGCTAAGAGACCACAGCCGCATTGTGTGGTTGCAGCGATCCAACGAGACACGGTGAGACCATGTGACGACCTGGGTTCCAGAGGTCGCTTTGGAGTATCTCTTTGTGTGTTGGTGGTGTTGGTAGCATCTCTATAGGTTTATCTTAAAACAGGATGGCCAATGAAAATTCTTTGAAGAAAGAGTATAGACTATATCAAGTTATCAAAAAACACGTCCAATCACCTATAAGTGTTTCCCGGTGACACTTCACAGACCCCTTTCTTTCGTTTGGTAGATTCTGGTAGACACTTTCCAACATAAAAATAGATGGAACAGCACTAAGACCCGAGCGAGTCGGCGAGTGTGCGAATGGCACAGAGAAGTCATGGCACTTGCGCCTCAGGTATTGCATGTGCCGCAAGGTTCCTTGGGGCGGACGACTGGACCCAGGCCCTTGGCCTCGGTGGATGGAACGAAACGAACCCGTGCATGGTGTGGGTGGTGGAGCCGTGTGAGATGCGGTCTTTCATACCATGAAAAGCCGAATTGACCCCCAACTGAGACCATTTCTAAGTGCCCCACAGCTGTATACTGTATACAGCTGTTCGTGGAGGGCAGATGGGATTTTCAGGAGTGGTGAATCAGGGTTTCTGGGCTCGGTTTCAAGCCAGGAGGGTCTTTGATCCAATAATTCTTCTTGCTGGGGGTTCCGAAGGCATGGCATGGTCTTATATAAGACAGTCTCGTCATCGGCAAAAGGTAGTTGACGAAGAAACCCCATCCCTTGGACTTCATCTTGACCACTTGCAGTGGTTTCATAGTAGAAGGCACAAACCCAAGTTGTTGTCTTGTAGTTGGTCTTCCATCTAAACCACCGACATTGGGGTAATTTGCCATCGATCATCTACTTGCATCTACTCTCAATCCACTATACCTGTCCAATCAATGTGGAGTCCCAAGTTGCTCATGACTCGGTGTGTTCCGCTCTGTTGGTCATGTCCTCAAAATCATGTCGTGTCTTCTTTGTTTTCGAGCCAACGCACCTCTGGCAGGCTTGTGCGTGGTTCCCACCAAATATGAGCAGCTGGTGCTGCTTGGAGGCCATGGATGGCCATGGTATGTGCTGCGATGTCCGTCTCCAAGCGTCTCAAACCCGCATCCGTATCGTAGACGGGGACATCCAAATCGGCGAGTCTTTGAACACTGGAGACTGGTGAGACAATTCGCATAGAAACTGCTGTTTCCACTGTACAAGCAAGCGCTTCATCCATGGATGCACCCCCCCGTATTGCATCCATTTATACTTTTGGAGAAGGGATCGGTTTGTGACGTCGCCGCGGAGTGCGCGAGCTCCTCTCGCGCGAGGCATTGTGCCCGGCATCCACCTCCGTGTGGAATGCGACGTGTGGATCTCCAGCGATGCTGGAAGCACGTGGCAACCGCTCCGAGCGCCAGCACCACGGCCGAAGCGAACGTCCGCACCTCGTAGCGGGGCTGTTTTCACCAACGAGACACCGGGCGGTTGGGCGGTCGAGAGGAGGATCATCGTTGAGGTTCAGAGGATAGTGAGGGGACGAGCCAAGGAGTAACATAGCTGACGATTCATCCCTGCGAGTAACAGGCCTTTTTGTATCGTTCTCAGGTTTCTCAGGCGCAAGTCGTTCTTAAAGAGGCCTCCGGGCCTGTAGGCTGCGGGATCCAGTTATTGGTCAAGAGCCAACTGGGAAATGATGAGGGGTCCTTCGTGAAGCCTCCTTTGCTCAGCTTCTAACTCCTGGTGCACTGGCAGATGAGGCGCAGTCAAAATCGTTTGGGGTCGTATCAGTTGGCATGATGAATTGAATGGAAGGGACTTATAATGACATAATATATATATATATATCAGTATAATCTGATATAATCTGATATACACTGTACATCACTGTACAAAACCATACAAAGCCATTCGATTGTACCCAGTTTGACCTTCCAGGTCTAAGACACGCAAGGGATTCTTCGCTGAGGATTGGGAGCCCCGGTGCTGTCCATTGCTCTTTTTCATGCCGCCCCAAGACGGGCAGAGGCAATTGCTGGTCTTGGGCGGCGCACGCCTCGCGGAGGCCTTTGGGAAGCATGAGGCGTTGGTACGGGTTTTGGCCAGTCGTAGGGACCCCTCCCGGCTAGTGAGTGCTAGTCGATTAGATGTTGACTCTTTGTCGATTGTTGACCCTTTGCTTGATGTTACTTGTTTTTATCTTGTTTTTCTTGGATGGTTTCTGTGGGATGCTTTGATTCGTGTTTTGGCATGTTTTGGCTTTAAGAAGCTTATTAGGTAAAGATCCCATGACGAGTTCCTCTGCAAAGAAGGATGATGAGTTCCACTTCAACCCCAGAAGTCGCCCCGAAGTCCTTCGTCGGGTCGCCGAAAGAAGCCATTCCGATAGAGATGGCCGAACCCCAGTGGTGGGATGCCCGCGTAGACACGGGATGCCCAGTGGTGGGGGCATTTAATTTGGGACCAATGCCACAAACGGTCCACCACAAACGAGGGTGTACGTTACCACATCACTGCGCTAATATCAAACTGAACAGTGAATCACAAATAAGCAAAGTCCTAGACAGTCAGTACCTTTCCAACTTCTGCGGTTTCAGCACACATGTTTCTTCACACATAGGGTTCCAACGGTTCCAACTACCTGAGGCCTGAGGTAATACGGTGTGTATTTTAATAGTTAGACGCCCAACCAATGGGTTTTGGTCTATGTTCTTTCTTCCAGCGATACTCTTTTTGGGGAGGGGATGTTTTTTTTTTCTTCATTTGAGGGCTTAAAGGCGAAGCAGAGGACCGGCCTAATTGAGCGCTTCACCTTCCCTGCCTTTTCACCATCTCCAGCCGGTCTTCGCCCCGTTGTCGGTTTTCCCCCCGGTCGGAGGCCTCGGCGGGAGACCGCGCCCATGCGATCGGGCCGCGGTGCTTGGATGATGCCTGGAGCCTCCAGGTGGATTTCGACGAAGGCGCCGCGGCACCGGGTTCAGGGTGACTTCGACATGCGGAGAGGGCAGGGAGACCGAAACACCATGAAGAGGTTGAGACATGCAATATATATATATATATTGTGACTCTCCCTTCCCCAGTAACAGTCAATAAAGGTTTCTTTATTTAGCAGCCCTCCAGAAATTGCACCATGGATTCACGTTTTTTTCATTTGAAGATTTGAGGCCAGCCAGGAATTTCCTGTCAAGGATGACTGTCCCTGAGGCTCACTGCCAAGAATTTTGTGTTTAGGACGACCGTCCCTCAGGCTCACTGCAGACATTTGCCTGTGACCCCCCCCCCCCGTGGCACATCACCTCTAGACTGGCCAAACTTCTTGACAAATGTGTCTGTCCTTTAAAGAAAAACACTTGGCATTTTGGTACATCACTTTAAACTCCTGCTGAGATGTTTGGTTTGCTTTGGACCAGCAGGGCATTTGGTCCATGAGTCATGGCCCATTGGCCCATTGATTTCATTGCCCAGCCACAATCCCCAAAAGTACTTGTTCAGGTCACAATTCCAATCACACACTCCATTGCCAAGACATTTCCTTTCTTCAGCCTTGGCCTGTGGCTAGCCATGGTCTATATGGCCATTCTGTGGCCTACTTGGCCAGAATCTTAGGGGTTGGAATCAGGTACCACATGGGTCATGGGCCATGGGCTAATTTTGTTGATGATTCAGCTAGCAAGAAGATTGATGGTGATGATATTCATTCCACTCACTATTCAAGGCCTAGCAATGAATAGTCTGAATAGTAATCTGGGGCCATCATCAATGAACAGTGGGACATCAAATGCAGATCCAATGCAGCTTGCTGGTACCAGCTGCTACTGTTGCACCAATGTGACATGAAGGCCTTCTCTTAGGTGCAGCAGAGTTGGAATAAAGATGAGTCTCCATCCAATTGGTTTCCTAGGACATCATGTGTGTTTCAAGTGTTTCAATACCTTGCCAAACATTCAATCTCCTAGACCGCCTAGACCCAAAAAACTAGACTTCTTCACGTTGGAGACGCACACCTCCAGCAGCTGCCTGAGTTTGCAGAGAGGAGAAAACATTTGGAGTGTTAAGCATTGGCAGCATTGATTTTGCAGACATTCACCATCCACCCTCTTCACAACTTCTTCACCACTGTGACCCCAACAGCCATGTCATGATTTCCAGCTCATCCCTTGGCCAGGTTCGTGGCATTGGTGGCTGGTGCCAACTCCAACCCATTGGAGAGCGCACATGGAGAAAAGAGAAAGTTCGTTTTGGCAAAATTGGGCGTGCAATAATTTGCGGTCATGATTGTGGTCACTGTTAGTGGGCATGGGCCAGACACAATATATATATATATACTGTATATTATACTCTATTATATATATAAAATATATATGGGGGTTGATGAGATGTGGATCGTTTTCATGGTCTCCCAAAGCAAATTTGACAATTCAATTGCATGTTACTGCAAAATAAGGACTTTATATAAGGCCACTTAGATAGGGACTCCAGGGACTCCAAAGAGGTCACTCTGAAGGTCCTGGTAGGGGAGTGTGTGTCTACACTCTTCCACTGTTCTTTTTTTGTGAACCCCCCTACTGTATTATGTGTTTTTGGTTTTCGTGTGAACCCGTTTGTCATGGCGTTTTCCCCATGACATGGACTTTGGGAATGAGAGGCTTTGGCTGGCCATATTCCCGACCTACTCTTTCAATCTCTTTCGGACTTCTCAGCCGATCTGAAGATCAACGGATCTCAGTGTGGGGGTCTTGCTTACAAGCCTACCCTGTTAGTGAAGAACCCGTAACCTTTTTTTGGAGATTTGTTTCCCCACCAAAAAATGAACTTCAAGACTCCGAGACCTTCAAAGTGTCCTCCTTGGAGTCCCTTTTTGAGTGACCTTTTACAGGTTTACTAGTGACCCCATCCTGGGCTCTCGAGGTCACTTTGAAGGTCCTGGTTGGTGGAGAACAGTAAAAACATGTGATGTTCCGGAAAGTCCATAGTGAAGTCAATCATAAGGCCAGGGCCTGGCTGGGCGACCCAACCGATCTTTACTTGCGCGCGCGTCCGGAAAGTCCGCGACGGGATCGACCGAGATGGTGAGTTATGGGGGAGAACTCTCTTGATCCATCTCGATCCAATATATACTGTATATACCAGGACCTTCCAACAGGTGGTTTTTGGACACCACTTAGCCACTAAGAGGCTATTTATAGACACCTCCTTGAAGGTCCTGGCCCTGGTATATATTATAAAATAGAGAAGGTGGGAGTCCAAAACTCGAGGTCAGTTATCGAACAATCATCCAATCTCATTGTCAGATAGATGATCTGGATCAAGGAATGAACAGCATGGAATAATGATGGACCAATGGCATATGAAGCAGACATGTTATTTCTATATGAATCCTTAAGATACCTCTTCCCCCCATGTTCCTCCCTTGGATCACCCGTCCATGTCCTCCAGGCACTGGAACCTTTGAGCCGCTCCACAGCGACGTCGACCGGGAGGTCGAGGTCTCCAGCGACTCGACGCATTCCGCGGTGAAGTGAAACAAGACCCGTAGTGTCTATAGACCGCAGGGAAGCAGGCCCCGAGGTTCTTGGAGTAGTGTCTATATATGTTTGCCCGAAGTTTTCCACTGAAAAAGGAGCTTGCTCAGCAAGAGACATCGTGGAAGCTGGAGAGGACTTGCCACATTGAGCTCGGATGCGCCCTCGGTTCCAAGGTGACGAGACAGGTTTTGACGGGCACCAAGCGAGCTTCGATGCATCGTCTTTGGCGGTTCCAGTTCTGCAGAGAGGCGGGACACGCGGGATGTGCCGAAAAAAGCCTACTGGGCCTACTTCGACTGGGAAGGCTTGGGGTCCTACAGTCAACCAGGCTGGTCAGGCCGGATCCACTTATGTTCACATGATTTTTCACTTCGACATTGGATTCGTTTCACGTCGTGACAGCGGTTTTCCAAGGCTCTTTCAAAGTGACCGTGTGACCCGGTGACGAGGTACGTTGTAGGATGTGACCTGGGGAACCGAGAAGGGAAAGAGGGACATCCTGACAGTGGACGCCCAGTTTCTTGACTGCCGACGAAGGGATCAATAGGTTATATTCGGTTTATAGTTTCAATCATCATAGACACCCAATAGATTCAACATAATGATACAACAGGTTCAGCAGGTAGTGGCATCTCAGGCAGTTATGAAGTGTGATGTCCATCGACCAGGTTTGGAATGGTCAAAAGATGTTAAGAGATGTTAAGAGTATGAATTTTGGACAATCTGCACACTCAGATCACTCAGATGGAGCACCCTTGGTCGATGTTTGCCTCATATTGATGAGGTTAAGTCTCGCTTCATCCATGACCAAATATCGGCCCAAACATCGGCAGCGTCAAATGGTGACTCGGTAACGGTCCGGTCACCGAGTAGTTCGTGTTCATGTGATACACCTCCTACCCGAACGTTCAAAGTACAAAAGCAAGATGCTACCGGTCTTTTTTTGTTCTAGGAGGTTGCTGGGGAAACCGTTGAGACAGGCAGCATTCTTCATGAAGCGAAGAAGCCCGTACCAATTTTAGAATTAAGGAGGAGCCATGCAGAGATCCATAGAGCGCATCCATGTGTTCCAGTGTTGGCAGACTGAAGCTATCCAACGGTGTCAGTCGTTGGCTTTCGCCGTCACGAAACAAATCTCTCCATGAGCGAGCATGAAGAGCTGGTGGAAACCGTGAAGCAGCAGCAGAGGAGCAGCGAGATTGCGCGCGAAGGTTGGAGACACTACTGCGGTGCATTGGCTGAGGGCGTTCGTGATCCAAAGAAACATAGTTCTGAGTCACCTGTCAGAGATTTGTGGCGATGAGTTTCAAGCGTTTCAAGTGTTCTGACCAGGACTTGAATTTTGTGGCAAGAACAAGTCAACCTTCAATGATTGCACACCGCAAATTGTTATGCAAGGACATAGTTTCGCATTTCAAGATCCCGCACTCACACACCAAGGGCGGTTTTGACACTCTTCGGTGAAATTCACAACAAGATCAACAAGTAAGCCCTTTTGTCTTTTTACATCTTTTTACATTTTTCCCCACCTGCCAGGTGAGGGTTGTTAGATTTTGTCACAGTTGTTCTTCCTCCTTCCTTCCTTCCTTCCTTCCTTCCTTCCTTCCTCCTTGCTTCATTCCTCGCCAATCTTCATCGCCAATCTGCTTCGCCAATCTGCTTCGCCGATCTTGTCTGGCAAGCTCCGGATCGCAGTGTGCACCCCTGAACCTCAAACGCAAGGATCCGATCGCTGTGTGCACCCCTGGACCTCAACCGCAAGGATCCGATCGCAGTGTGCACCCGTGGACCTCAACCGCAAGGATCCGATCGCAGTGTGCACCCCTGGACCTCAACCGCAAGGATCCGATCGCAGTGTGCACAACCGCAAGGATCCCCTCGCAGTGTGCACACGTGGACCTCAACCGCAAGGATCCGATCGCAGTGTGCACCCCTGGACCTCAACCGCAAGGATCCGAGCGCAGTGTGCACCCCTGGACCTCAACCGCAAGGATCCCCTCGCAGTGTGCACACCTGGGCCTCAACCGCAAGGATCCGATCGCAGTGTGCATCCCTGGACCTCAACCGCAAGGATCCGATCGCAGTGTGCACCCCTGGACCTCAACACACAATTACAAACAGAACAACAAACACACAACCAGAAACGCACAACCACAAGCACAACCAGAACCACACAATCACAAACACACAACCACAAACACACAACCACAAACACACAACCACAAACCACAACCACAAACCACAACCACAAACACACAACCACAAGCACACAACCACAATCACGCAACCACAAGCACACAACCACAAACACACAAGTACAAACACAACCACAAACACACAACCACAAACACACAACCACAAACACAACCGCAAACACACAACAACAAACACAACCACGAACACAACAACAAGCACACAACCATAAACACAACCACAAACATAACAACAAACACAACCACAAACACAACCACGAACACACAACCACAAACACAACCACAAGCACACAACCACAAGCACACAACCACAAACACAACCACAAACACACA